CTATGAGTTCAGGACATGAAACCAGACGGCTGATACTATGTACAGATTGTGAAGCGTGCTGTTCTACACTTCGACACCATTGGTTTAAATACACTGCTAAAAAAGGGAACACTTGATCATCGCAGTGTAACACAAAGTCAGTTAAACTTCTATGCTATCACCAGCGTTCTCTTCACACTGAGCCTCTGTGAGTCTGGACAGTTTAGAGAGGCTGTGCCAAATGTTAAGATGCCTGTAACTTCATCTGTCATGAGAACAGGGCAACAGTGGCAGACCTACCAGTTCTGTTTTTTCTCTGGCAAATGCCAGTCAAGCTGGAAGGCACTGGTCTTTGAGCACAGGTCCCACTAAAGGGCATTCAGCCCTCACATGGCCCTCCTGGATTCTGTTTGGCCAGACACATGTACATTAATAGCCTGCTGGAGGTCATTTTGCAGGATTCTGGCAGTGCTCTTCTTGTTCTTCTTTGTCCATCTCTTCATGTAACAGCCCACCTCCTGGTTTATTCTCCACACTCTTGTACTGTGCTGGGAGACACAGCAAATCTTTTTTGTGATGGCAGGCCTGGATGTGTTTAATTTAGGAAAAACTGAATAGGCTGCTGACATTTGTCTTGTTTTTGCCTCTCCAGTGTATGCATTGTCATTTTCTTTTGCACCAAAGCAGGTGTAAAGGATTCAAAATGGTATGTGCTTCCTAACTGGACAGACTATGTAAACACATCCTGATTTAAATGTGAATAAATGGGATTCTTGAGTTATGTTTTTATGTAATGTAAAATTTTCAGCCTAACTTGAAACCATGTTTTGTTTCAATTGTCACCATGCAAGTGTCATCGATGTGTGACATTTCTTAAGGCAGGAAGGCCCTATGGAAAAACATGTTGCCCAACCCTGGACTAGAGGCACGAGTAATGCATTGAATAGAGATATATGTAGGATATTTGAGTGTTATTACTGCAACAATAATAAGAACTAATAACTTGTTAAGGGGTGTTTCAATAGTGCAGGAGTTTATGTACTTGGCTAACAAACAAAAAGTCTCCAGTTTGATCCTGGGAGGAGACACAAATCTTTGGAAGATATGATGGGACCTGATTATTCAAGACTTTGTATGTAAGGAGAAGGACTTTAAATTCAATGATAGATTCAACAGTGAACCACTAAAGATAAACTAATCTTCGTCTTTCGGATGCTCCCGCTAGGGGTCGTCAAAGCTCCATCTCTACCTAAGCCTAGCATCCTCTTCTGTCACGCAAGACCTTCTGGAGGCCCTGCTTCCCTACATCCATGAATCTTCTCTGTGATCTTTTTCATTTCTTCGTGCCTTCTGGGTCCATCTTCAAAATCCCTTTTTCAAAATATCCACCATTGCTCCTGTACACATGTCCAAGCTATCTCAGCCTTGCCTATCTAACTTTGTCTCCAAAATGCTCAACCTGAACTGTTCCTCTGATATACTCATTTCTAATTTTGTCTCTCTGTCAAGAAATAAGAAAATCTAGTATAGAAGAAACATGATCTATCTTTCTTAACCCTGTCAGTACTCTCGCTGCAGCGTTTTGGATTAAGGGGAACATCAGTGCATCACTGAAGTCACAGTGCATTGATTTGCTTAGCGTGTAATGCCTTTAAATATCCACAAAGGGGCAGAGTGGACCAGTTTAACTAAACAACAGCCGGGCTAACGATTAGAGATGGGGGTTGAATAGATAGAGAGCATACAGAAAGGACGGAGAGGGTTGCAAAAGTCAATGAACAGACAGTGGGATTGTCCACTTCATTCGGTGAAAAGCAATTATGTCCCAGGCTCACAAGTGAGCAGAAACAGGTCCATTTGTAGCTATTTTTAACTCCCTGACGCCTCTGAGCCCTACAGTATTGTTTAATCATTCCAAAGTATTGAGTGTGCCCACTTTGGCCAATTAGGCCAAAACCCCCCAGTCTGTGTCACAGTCAAACTGGATAAACGACACGCGAGCGCAGTCTCATAAAGTAACCGCTTATTTAAACCAGCTAAAAGTCGTGTCCTGGATTGTTACCCCAACCTAGAAACCCCCCAAAGAATCCAAACAATGCGTTGTCTAATTGGGTGAAGGGTTGAGGGAAATCTGTCTGATTAGCCTTCTCCAACAGACGGGGATTAAGCTTTTGGTCTGTAATTATTATAAAGCATACGTCAGCAGACATCCACCCATTTCAGTGGAGCAGAGGGATCCTGCGAGGTGACTGTGCTCTCTCTCAGGCCAAGTCAGACGCGAGGACCCAAGAATAGGAGCAGTACTGGAGCAGGAACAGGAATATCCTCCTGAGTCAGTGCCACGACGCTGACAAACCACGCTCCCCGGCAGAGCTGCCTCTGCTCCGATAATCAGCATCCTATGCTATTCTGCTCAAGATGGCGGTGCAGGCAGCGGAGAAGGACGGAGTAGTGAGTATTTTGAAGGTTTTCGGGGAACCGATCCGGGGTTACGTGTGTTGGTATTTATTTTCTGTGCATGGGGGGCCTGTTAGTTGCGATTTAAGCGCACCGTTAGGTCGATTATCCGGCGCTTATTGTAAATGCGGAGCGCCGGGCGCAGCGCATTCAGAGCGTAGGGCGACTCCTCTTTCATCTGTGGCCGGGGAGGAAATGGGGAAATCCAATACGCTGTGGTGAAATGCACCGGCGGTGTGTGCTCTTCTAGGCCACCCAGCCGGTGGCATTTCCATCGTAGTGCAAGATGGTGCCAAATGTGGGGCTCCTTTATAATAACTCATGGCTCCCGGCAGGAACGCTGATAACAACATGACAGGTCTGCTGCCACCTCGTCATTGTTGTTGCACGCCGCGTACGAGGCCACACTCTTGTGCATATATTGAATGATAGGCCTGTAGCCTCTTGTTGTGCCTTTAACCTCAGCCATGCAAGTTGTATATCCTACCTGACAGAGCGATAAATGATACTTTGCATCCTGTGTCTTTTGTCACTGGTGTTGAAGAATGTGGAAGAAGACCACCTGAATGACTCGCTGGGGAACCCCGGCCTCATCTCACCTGACAAGGAGGATTTATCACGCCTCCTGGTATGAAATATTTAAACGATTTCCCGAGTGTCCTTGTTTGATGCTCGCTCCTGGCTGTGCGTAATAAATTCAATGTGTGCAATGCGTAGACGGTGCCATTCAGCGGGCGCATCCGGGGGGGCATGCGGCCGGGGAAGAAGATAATAGTGATGGGCATCGTGGACCTGGAGCCAGACAGGTAACATAACACCTCACAAAGGCATGCATGCACACACTCTTTATCTGGAGCCATGTTTTTATCTCTGCATATTTAAAACATTCTGATTTACGTCTGCACAGTACACATTCTTTGCTAAAGGATGTTAGAGATAGGATGGGGTTTTTTTTGTTCTTAGGCTAGTCAGACTTGCACGGCCACTCGAGGACACACTGAGTAATGCGTAGGCAGCCAGAAAGAACAGTGGCTCCTTAAGTATGCAGAGACAGGGCGTTCCCTCACCAGCAGGGAGAAAAAGGGGGGAATTTTCTTTTTTTTTTTTTAATTTTTTTTTAAAAAAGAGAGAGATCCAGTGAAGCAGATTTGTTTGGGTGTGTCCTTACCCTACATGGAAACTTGTGTCAAACTTGGAAGAAACCTCTCGATGACCTCATCTTGTTTAGTGCCTGCTGCTGGGAGGGTTTTCCATGCCAAAGTTCATGTGAATGTCCCAACAGACAGAGCAGCTCCAAGGCCTAAACACACACTGTCTTTCTTTGTTGCGTCTCATTACTTAGAAACTTGATGCCTGTAACTGTGACCATAAACTTACACCAAGACTCATAACTGTGCAGCAGCAGCAGGGGAGGGTGGATAAACAGAACTAGCAGCAGGGATTATGCATAATTAACTCACAATTGGTGAGAATTGTTCTTACGCAGCAGAATTATGCATCTCATTTATCCCAGATTATCTGATGTGTGCTTTACCACTGCATCCTGCCTGAATACCCGATACCCCGGTTTTGTTTTTTGTTTTTTTTTCATACCCTCAGCTTTGATGTCAGCCTGACCTGCGGACGTGATTCAGAGAAAGGGGAGCCTCCATTTGATGTGGCCCTGAAACTCACGGCTCGTTTCACTGATCGTCAGTTCCTTCGCAGCGCTCGGGTTTCTGGGAAATGGACAGAGGAGGAGGCGTCCACTGTGTATTTTCCCTTCATCCCTGATCAGCCTTTTAGGGTAAAAAAATCCCTTTTCTCACATCAAATAATTCTGGGTAATCCCCAGCAGTCGACTGTAGCAGAGATATTTTCAGAATTAGTTATAATGTGAGATTATCTGCGCAGCATGATAATGGAACACAAACAGGAAATGTTGTCCATGCTTCATCATATTGTAATGTAAATACAGCCTGTACCCCATATAGTGGCCTGTTTACTGCGTTAGGACCACATCAGCTATTGTGGTGTGCTGAATGAGTTGGAGTTGGAGGGTGGAGGGGGTTGAGCAGCAGGGCATATGCATGATGAGTAATCTCATAACACCCGAGGACTTGTTAGCTCTTTAATGTCATATTCTGCTCCAATAAGTCTGAATGTGCACATGAATAACACACATGGTGTACAGCTAAAAATATACAATAGTGGCAATGGAGCGAAGAACAAAGCATGAAGTTTCTCGAGATGTTTTCAGGACACTGAATGAAGTTGTTCTTTCTCCAGTGTAGCCGAAGGTCTGTTTAAAGTGCCAAGTTCACGACACCCACACGTCACCGTGAAATGCACCATAGCATTTGCTGCAGTGTTGGCAGCTCTGTGAAATCCATATAGAGGTTATACTTGAGGAGCTGGAGGCTAAAAGACGGCAAATGCCCAAAGCAACTGGGTCGGTAATTTGTGTACTTGTAACCATCTCTATTGCGTAATGTCTCGAAATGTTCAGGACTCTAGTGCATGTGTACAAATTTAGTAAAAATTTATTTTGGCACTGATTGCTGGAGCTATTTTTATTTATCTTGCATAGTGATTGTGACGTGATCTGCTTGAGAAGGAGGTCCAAAGTCTCTTACAGGTGCGCACTGCAGCTGAGTTTGGTTCACTGTCAAAACCAGTGCATATGATTAATCTCCTTTGCAAACTTAAACAATTCAGTAACCCCTTGCTATCCTTTTGATGGGGTACATTATAGTCCTGGAAGAGACCACTCCACCATAAGTTTATGGATTTACAGTGATCCTTACTTCTAAGGAGACACGCACAATGTGAGCAAAACTATTCCAACATCATAACAGAGCCACTGGATCCCCTCATTGCTGGGGTCAAAGGTTTTTGCTTAGTGTGTTTTCCAGTCTGATATCTTTAAAACTCAGCTGTGGATGCATGAGAATTTTTACAAAGAGAAACTCTTTCTGTTTTTTAAGAATGTGTAATATGCATATGCAGACACAACAACTTAAGTTATTTTTAGAGGTGAACCCTGCATCTGGTTGTTGAATGTCAGCTCTCTGATAAAGTGTCATTGTTTGTGGTTGCAGCGTGACTGAGCGGGTCGGCACAGTCATGACTCTGTCGAAAGCTGGAGGCTGGAGATTAAGTCTGCCATGCAGAATGTTTAAAACAAACTCCCTCCTGAATCCAGGGGCATGTGGAGAGACACATGATGTGCTGTGGTCTCAGAGCAGGATGGCTTGTTTCTGCTGCTTCATCTAAAACGTTCTGCCTTGAGTTGTTTGACGGTTTCTTTTCTTTTTTTCTTTTTTTTAAAATTCCCCCCCACTGGTATAAACCACGCGGAGGTGTTTATGCAGTTACATTTTTGTTGTCGGTTTGTTAGGATTCAGTGTGTACACGTACAAACAAGAGAAGAAAATGAGAGCGAGGCTTAGCTCTAGCCTACTTATTCAATAACGTTTTGGGAGCTTTCAATGTTTTAACATCAACTAAAATAGCTGATAGTCATCCTCAGTGTAATGGGTCATTTGGTCTTTCTCCTTACAAGCGGATGTCTTTATCATGCACCCTAACCAAGGAAGAAAAAATGACAGATTAGCTTGGGTAAAAGACCGAAAGTTGAGGCACACAACGATGTGTGCCGCTGGTAAAGTTTCTGAGCTGCCTTTCCTCATAACAAGCATCCGTCAACGTTTTCTCCATTTAAAGCAATGCAATATCAGGGATTGTAACATCTAGTCCTTTACTGAATCTATTTTGTAATTGTTTACTCGAATTAAAACTGCACAAATAATATTTTTATATTAACGAGCAGAGAAAGAAATGGTTGTATAAAGTGAGATGCGTCCCTTCAGCTCATGAGGTGATTGTGTGTAACTCTGACACAGCTTTTTCCACCCACCCAATTTCTTCTGCTTATTGTGACTGTATGGAATGAGTGTGTTCAGTCTCTACTTGTCATGAAGTCAAAAGCGGTTAAAGTGCGGTATTTTCTTTCCACCTTTTGCCTAATTGTCTTTTTCTCCATGTCTTTCTTCCTTCTGCAGATTGAGATCCACTGCGAGCACCAGAGGTTCCGGATATTCGTGGATGGACACCAGCTCTTTGACTTTTATCACAAAGTAAAATCTTTGCCCTCTATCGACACAGTACGAATACAAGGAGACCTACAGATTACCAAGCTCGGTTAACTTGCCCTCTGACCAATTCCCGCTCCGCAAGTCGTGTGTGAAGCAAGGACTTGATCACACATGACCACACACACACGTGCGCCTGTTACATCATCATCCATAGCCCATCGTACAGCACTGCATCAGCATAGTAACTGGATCAAAGTTTTTCTGCTTTGCTGTTTCTTCTTCTTCCTCTTCTTTATGTTGAACCAGGATCTGATGTGATGGTGCTTTGTGGGTGAATGTGTTTGATCCATTTTTCAGGTATTTTTCCCTTGTAGCCCCAGTTTTTAGATCAGCGAACTTGTAGCTTATTTATAGGACATTCCACTTTTATGTCGAATCCTTTAGGGAATTTGAGATGGAGGCAGGTGTGGAGGTTTGAAAAAACCAGTTAGATAAAAATATCTGACAATTAGCAGCTAAAGTGAAAGTTAAGTGTTGCTCATGGATAGAACAAAATCAAAAACTTAAACTCAATTCAACTCACTTTGTTTAAACATACAAGCGTCCTCTTAAATCTTTTGCTGACCAAGCAACGTGAACAAATGTGCAGTAAAACTCAGACAGGCCAGAGCAGTGTTCCCAAATCAGGCAGATACATGATGTTATGCGAGATGCAACTGGTTTCAATTAAAATATACCTGGACATATATGTATATTTGATATGCTTTAGTTAGATTGAGCTCAGCACAGCTGGATGTGTAACTATTTCAAAAACTCATCTGAGCACAACACAAGACAGCATAGCGGCCTGTTTTCTCTCTGCTGATGTATATCCAACTCTGCTGGCACTCCTCTGCATCCCTTGGGTTTATTCCAGTTGTCATGGTAACACGTCGCAGCCTCATTGACCTAAATACTCAAAAATGAGGATTATATCATGACAAGATGTAGCATCCCATGCTTAACACAGCGTGTCTGGGTAGTTTGCACTTTTCTTTTTTTTTTTTCTTTTTTTTAACTACAGCCACTCTCCTGTCAGTAGATTGCGCTATAGAGGCAGCAGAGCTGCTGAGAAATGAATTTAAAATTTGACTTCTGCTCCTTTTTTCTTTTGCAAGCCTCATCAGAGTTGAACACTAAAATAAGATAGAAGTTTTACTCCTTATATGAAGAAGAAACCATGCTGTCATCGAGGTCACAGGTTCAGCCGGGTGCAGGTTCAGTCACACATTTTGGAGTCAGGGGTCAGATCCTGGGGGTACTTTGAATGTATAGGGTTGATGTTTTTTGTTTATCTTTTTTTTTCTAATAGTAGCATAGAAGATATAGTGATGCACAGATTAATTTCTCAATGTCACAGTTTTTGGTGGTATGGCTGGTGCTGTTTTAGTCCATTATAGGTCTTGTGTGTCTCATGGCTTTTTAAAAAAAGAAAAAGGTTTTCCTGAATCATTCCTCATCGGCATCTTGCCCACACTGATGCAGTCTCATCCTTTCCTAGCGCTGCAGGCTGTGTTTTAGAAGTGTAACTAACACAAATGTCTGGTCTCTTATGCGTTGTTTTCTTTATGACAGTTTCCTTCACTGGGGCAGGGAGCAAGTTCTAAAAAATATAGAGAAGAGATCTTCAAGTTAAACCCACAAGTATTGTGTGTATGAAATCTTAAGGTGCTCTGTTTACACTCTTCCAGTATCAACGTTGATTATGCGTTATCAGGTTGTTGTTTTTTTTTTTTTTTTTTTCCATACTCTAGAAAGATGTAAAAACTCACTGCAGACATTAAAAGGTACTTTTTTTTTTTTTTTTTCTGTTTATGCATTTGTGTTTTTTGGCACAACTTCACCTACTTCTAATATGCAGGTAGGAGAAGGAAAAGTCTGAGGAAGACAAAGCTCTTGCAAAAAGCTGGCCAGATTTGTTCTAGACAAATGGCTTAGGGCAGCAATAAAGTTTCTTTGTTGCTGAAGCCTTGACCTCTTTAAAGGGTTTTATAAGAAAAATGATTTAAGTTTAAGTTATGTTCATGGGTCAGTTATTAGCCTGAATATATTTGCCAAGTTGTGAAAAATCTCTTTTGTGTGTAATTAAAATTGTATTTATTAAAAGTTGGTAAACGGCTATTACCAGTCCCACTTTTAGAAATGTTAATAAATCATTAAAGTTTCCTGGGTTTATAAAGATGCATTAAAGCTGAAATTATAAACGTTGATAAGCTGTTCATGAATAATAGATACACTCTGGTGCAGATGCCCTGCAGCTGTTTCCCAGACACTTAAAAGAACAAGGCACGTGTCATTTCACATGAAGGGTTAGCCAAGGGGGTTTTTCACAACTGAAATGTTTCCTGAAACTGCTCATAAATGTGATTTATTATACATTTATAACACGTTAGGGGGTGTAACAGAAACCAAAGTCATGATACAAATAGTACATTGTGAAGGTCATTCAGGTACAGAAGTATCATGCATCACAATAATGGAAAAATGGAATGGCGTATGCTGTTTTTCTAGAATTATTACATTGTTAGAAATCATTAAACCATTCAATAGAAATTCACAGAATAAATGATCACAACTTGTAAATGTTGGAAAGCGGCACTGCTGGTTCTGTTTATGACAGTAAAACCTAAACCAGGTTTCATGAGCCTGTTTGATCCCTTTTGAGGACTTTTTTTTTTTTTTTTTAGCAGTTTGACACTGAAGAAGTGAACAGCAGTTGCCTGCACAAAACTGCTCAGACATTTTGACATTTTCACCCTCACATATTCTGTGTTTATCATAAGCCAATGATGGTTTTTGGATCGAATTTTTGCTGCTGTAAAATTGGAGTAAGCCATGAATGAGGCTTCCTTTGTGGGCAAACTCTAAGGAAACTTCTTCATTACCTGTGGGCAGCGTTTGTCAAAATGCAGAAAGGCTGCTTTCTATACATGCATGAGTATTTGCTAGTTCCTTTGACATAGCAATAACATCGCTGCTCCTAGAGCTGACTCTAAGCTTCTTTTTGCCTGGTTGGTCAGACAGCGTCTTCCTGAGTTCCTCGTTTTACCCAAATTTATTCTGGACACAAACGAGCGTGGTACTGAGAATTGCAGTGTAACGGATAGGTGTGTGTGAATCATTCTTACTTTAGTATTACAAGGGCAAATGTGTCCAAATAACATGTAATTATGCTGATTGGGCATGTTGTTGGATGCTATTGGTATTCTGGTGACCATATTTAGTAACAGTTTACTGTAATAATGTTGATATAGTCCATGGAAGTATGTTTGAGTGATGTAAAAACAAGATGTGTGTTGAAGGGTGATGCAGGTTCATGTTTTGGGTCTTCAGTTTACTGTGTTGACAGCAGCAGGAGGTACGGGGGAGGGAGAGGAACAATTCAAGGCTTCCTGCGCTCATTCCAGGGAGCTCTTTATATGTGTGCAGAGCTGAGCTGGGAGTCTGTTTGGCTCAGCATAGTGTACACTTGAACTCTGCCATTAGCAAATTGTTTCTGGAACTGCTGTGTTTTTTTCCAGCTGAGCGCAGTTTGTTTTCCTCTAGGTTTTTAGATGTGGTGCAGGTACAGGATAAGCTTGTGGGGTACTTACCTATTTTGTACTGTTGCACTTTAAAAAAAATTGCAAAACTCACAGCGAGAAGAAAACAGTTAAAGCATTTTTACTGTTAAATATGCAGGCCTCTTTTTCTGATCTCCTAATGATCCCACATCTTTTGAAGAACAACCTTGGGAAATCATAATTTATTGCTCTTTGTAACTCTTATTTTATTTTCTCTGCAACACTTTAAAAATGTAACTGAAAAGCTGAATGTCATTTTCTGGCTGATTGTAATCTAATGGTAACCCAGGTGAAATTACTGTCCACAATCACCCCAGTTATTTAGGACCTGCCCTTTTATACCCATTCAGTGAAGTAAATCTTTACACTCTTCCTACCCTTAAAATCCAGCAAGTCTGATGTAAGAGAAGGAGTGTTTTTTTTTTGTTTTTTTTTACCCATGTCTGTCTGTTTGTTACCCTCCTTTCGGACTTTGGATGTACGTGGACTCAGGGTTTTTATTTTTGAAGAAAACACATGAAAGCATTTGTTGTGCATGTAAGCTAGTACCTGGCAATTTGGAAAGACGACAGATTGACGTACCAACTATGTATTGCCAGTTTCTGTTTCAGTCAAGCATGCGGTTTTATTTCTTTTTGCCATCTATCCATTGTCTGTTCTTTTGGGCTGTATTTTTTTATGGCCTAATGTGGACTCGAGTATTGAATTAAAATCATTTCCCCATGAGTTTCACCAGGTTAAAGAGCGGTTTTCTAAAAGGTGCTAAAATGACTTCATGGTGTTCATTGAGTAGAAGTAGGCTGATGTGTTGCTGATGTGTTTGTGCGGTTGATCATGTTATCATTTGTATTTATTACACCATAACCAGCAGCTTTGTGTGTGGTAAAGATATCCTGACTGTATAGCTAACGTTTTGCTGTTTATACGAAGGCGCGTTGAAAAGCTGAGTCTTTTATAATAATGAAAGTGTTTTCTTTGGCTCTGGGTTCTGATGTGTACAAATATTACAAATGATATGGAAAAAGAGTATTGTCTTAAACTGCAACCTTTCCCATTTCCAGATGCTTTTCTTTTAACTGCACAACAGTTTCCTGTCATTGTTTTCAAGGATGTACTGAGTCGGAGGATCACTCGTGTGCTGGCTGCAGTAACTTTGATCTCCCTGATACTCTTTCATCTCACGCATCATGTTGGCTGTTTGATCTGCTGAAAACAGGAGCACTTGTAATTACCACATGATGTCACATTCCCGAAATAAATAGAGTTGACTGTAAACTTTGTGAGAATGTGCACACGGCCAGTGTTTAGATGAACACAATACATGCTCCAAATGTTTTTTCCCCTCTATGCTTTTGTAAAAACAACTCCTTTGCAAACCAATAAACTTCTTACGTTGAGTTTTTTCTTCTGATCACTTTTTGTGTTAAATAATTTTGAAGGTTATAGATGCATATCGATGAGGAGATTGATGATATATATTCGTCTCCTGTCTTTGTGTTTAGACCTGTCTTTCTCTTTCCCCTCACTCCAAAACCTGTTATGGCAGATAGATGTCTTCCTCTGGTTTTGCTTGAGGTATCTTTCTGTTAAAAGGGAATTCTTCCTCCCTGCTCCTCCTCTAAAACATTCTGAGTTTGGTGGTTTCAAGGAGAACGGTACTTGTCTGACTGCATTGTGCCTAGTGTAAAGTTTGGTGGAGGGGGGATTATGGTGTGGGGTTGTTTCTCAGGCGATGGGCCCCTTCAATCCAGTGAAAGGAACTCTTAATGCTTCAGCATACCAAATCATTTTGGACAATTTCATGATCCCAACTTTGTGGGAACAGTTGGGTGAAGACCCCTTCCTGTTTCAATATGACTGCGTACCAGTCATGGATGAGCAAGTTTGGTGTGGAAAAATCTGACCGGCCGGCACGGAGTCCTGACCTCAATCTGACCGAATGCTTTTGGGATGAATCAGAGTGGAGACTGTGAGCCAGGCCTTCTCATCCAACATCAGTGTCTGACCTCACAAATTCTGATACACTTGTAAACTTTGTGGAAAGCCTTCCCATAAGAGTTGAAGCTGTTATAGCTACAGTTCATATGTGTGTGAAGTGAATACGTGGTCATCTTGGCCACGTCTACATGTCAAGATGCATCCACTGCAGTTTCACTTCATATTTCTCACATCGTATATTTTAAATTTCCACTAGGATATGTATGTTCATAATGGAATTCTCCCAATGAGTCAGAAATGCAAGAACAAAAACAGACAATCAACAGATAATTTGGTATATTTCTATTCCTGATCCCTAATAAATAAAAAAAGAGGTTCTTTCATGTTTAAGAGAAGCACCTGAATTCTCAGAAGAAATGATTCTTCCTCTTTCATCTTTCAGCTCACAGCCGGAGAAGAGTCCCAACTCAGAGGCTCAGCAGAGGCAAGATCAGTTATTTCTGCACATGAAAGAGGGAGAAGAGGAGCTCACATTAATGCTGGGTCCTTTCCCTCCAGCACAAAATCTTTATACTGAAACAGAAGGACTTACCATCTGTCAGGCCCCTTCATCAGACTGCTCTGCTTCTGCACATGTAAATAAAGAATAAGAAGATGAAGGCATGCCACGGAGCCTCCAGTCAGGTCGCTGCTGTCTCTGAAGAGTACTTGGCAGCATGTGCAACATCCATGAAAAATATCTAATCATTTACAATCTCACACTGAGATAAACTTCTGCTGTGTTTGCTGTGCTTGTTTTAAAGGGGATGTTGACCTCATAATACATGCAAACATGACAAATCATTCAGGCAGACATAACAAGGGTTTGATCCGAGTGTGCCCCTGTGTGTTCATCAGAGAATCCATACAGGAGAGAAACTGCACTGTTGCCTCACTTGATGCAAATGTTTCAGCAGCAGAACAGCAGCAATTCAAGATATTACCTGAGATATTGTAGAGATAAAAAAAAAAGTAAACAGCTCATTTACGGTCCACTGTGCAAAGGTCAAAGAGAGATCATGTCTTCAGCTCGGTGTGCCAGGGAGCCAAGAGTGCCTGCTTCTTCTGACAACCGACCTTATTGTGCTCAGCTTTTTAATTAATGCTAATGGAGAATATTTCTTCCTAGCTACTGCATGTTTTTCAGTTATGATAAAACAGCTCAACAGTTCAGATTATTTCCTTTGCGACTATCTACAGTGACCAGCAGAGGTTTAGCAGTCTTTCAGTCGTTAAGTCCCCAGGGCTGAGGGCACAAATTAAAAAAGGTCTGGACCACCACCATGGTTCAGCACCTCAGTAATGTATGGAGGGGAAAAGAGCTCCACCTAGAAAGAACCATTTGTGGTTGTGCACTCAGAATCTATTCCTGAAGCCTGCAGAGCTCAGCATTTTTCTGAATCCTGTTTTCTGCCTCACACATCCATCGCCTCCCTCTTTTTCTGCACCTTGCACATTTTTTAGCAGTTTTGCTCAGAGCTGAGGGTGAAGTTGCACTGTGATGATAACTGCCCCAAGTTAGAGGAAGAGACAACAGTGTTTCTAGATTGCAGCACCCTTAGCTAGCAGACCTTGTGATATTCATATCACTGATGCACAACTTGTGCATTCTTTCCATTAATGATTAAAAACTTTTCACCCACTTTTCAGTGAAGCACTTTTGATGTTGTTGGATATTTTTAGGCTGCTTTGCAGAAGATGCAGCATTTTTAATATCCACCTGCAGAGTTTTCAAGTCAGGTCACTCCAAAATATCCTGCTTGTGTTCCTTAAAGTAGATCATGGTGCTTTTTTTTTTTTTTTTAATTTGCAAAATCACACACAACGTACTCAATTGAAAACTGATACAGTTTTGTGTTTCGTTTAAATCACAGATGCTACATTAGACATGGTTATTTTGTCTCTTAACCATTTAAAAAATTATGGGACATATTTTTCCAACAGAATTGAGAAGATGGCATTGTGAATTTTGATTCCTTTGCATGTAGCAGCTGTCTTTGGAGAAACTGTTAATTCACTTCACTGGATTGTGTTGATATGGTTTTAAGGAAATGCTTGAGACTTGAGATAAAAATGGATGCATATATTTAAGAGATGCTGTTCATGTTTTTAAGACCTAAAGTGCACTGATTAAACTATTTTTTCATGTTACTTCATGACATAACTATGTCAAAAGGACATCTACTCATCCATCTATCCATATTTTGCTACTTATCTGGGTTTGGGTTGCAGGGACAGAAGGTCCAAGCAGAAACATAAAGACCTTACTCGCATCTCCTTCTTCCAGCTGTGTGTAAATGAAGTGGAAAATATAATTACCCAGAGGAGATGGAGAGATTCACCCACAGGTTACAGAGAAGCAGGTGGATCAAAACATCAGTCCATACATGGGAGCCTGTACTTTAAACAGTGTTGAAAGGAAAAATCTCAAATTACATCACTGACAACACGGCTGATGTATTGAAGTGATGCTTCTTTTTCTTCATTATAACACTGAAGCCTTTGTGAAGCTGAAATAGTAACCAAAGTGAGAAAAGTCTCATTTGTGTAAAAATTTAAAAATGAACTCTTTACAAAAGCTCAAACAAGTTATTTCATTACATGTGCCTTAGCATGTCTGACACTCAGCACTGCATAACTGAACTGTATTGAAAGTGAACATTCCCACAAGATTTAACATGTTTTGCATAAAATACAAGCTGCATCAGAAAAACAATGCAATTTTAAATGTATCCAGGTTAAAGTTCAATAATTTTCCGCTTCATTGCCAGGACATAAAATATCCCAAATGACCGCACCTAATGACATTACTCACCCACTCCATCCTCCCCTCTTTTTTCTCTCAATTACCTCCTATAAGGTCTGTGTGTAAGGAAAATAAGTAATACTGTGGCAGTGAAGTTGTAATATGCACTCATGCCAGTAGCAGTTTATGAAGAAATAAAATTAATACTGATTAGAACTGAGTTCAGCTTAGTAGTTTGAGCCTCCACACCAGTCTCAGTTTTTCATGTGACCCACTGGGAAAATGAATAGTCCACCCTGGTATGGTTTGCAGACAGTGAATATTTGTTATTAATCTCGTACACCGTATAAATGCCTCACATTTTAATCAGGCTTCTTGTAGAAACAAGATGCTGCTGTGTCTCTGCTCACATTGAGAGGCAGAGGTTGAGGTTGTGTGTGAGAAATATATTACTATGAATTACTAGGCTAACAATTACACCAAACTGCATTGCCTCTGTGCTGACTGATGGTGCTCAGTGGCTTTTGCTCCTTGCTTTTAAATCAGATGTCACTCTCAAGATAAACACAAGCTACAGCAGCAAGCAGTCTTAGCTAAGGAAACAAAGATACATTTCCTCATTTAATATAAAATATTGTGGTGATGTTATGTTATATTAGGCAGGCAGCTGCCCAAATTACACTGTGACAATCAAAAGTATATCTATTTTGAACGCCTCAGCTGGAAAAAATTCAAAATGGTTTATAAAGTTGGCCACAGGTCTGTATGTAAATGGGAGTTAAAACATTACTTCATATTTGGATATGTATGATGTTAGTGTTTCTAAAATACTTAAAAATGTCTTTATTAACAAAGTAAACTAAAAATAGACATTATTATATTTTATACTTTTAACTACTGACTTGAACATAATATGAAATAATGTGTTTCCACTGTGGGAATGATGGATCCAATGACAAATAACTTCCAGATTAGTAAAGTTATATTTTTATTTTTTCTAGTTTTCCATTTCTATTTAGATGATTTATATTTATATTTAAAATGAACAGGATCATAAAAAAAACGCCCTGCAAGTGTAACAAAAATATGTTGAAATCAAATGGTATGTTATGTGAAATCAATATGAAACAATGACACATGCATTTTATCCAATTTTTTTATTTATTTAATTTTTCCCAATTGTC